GTCCAAATAAGACATTTTGTTTAGCTCTTTTTCTGAAACAGTAACGAATTAGAACAAAACCTGAACTTGTATCAAGCGCTTTTGAGTTTAGCTTCTGCATTACTTAAACTTTTTTTTTTTTTTTTAATTCAAATCAGGAGTCTACATCATACTCAAACTTACTAATTTGAGCATTTAGGAAAACACCCAACCAAAACATTATATCCCCTGGCTTTTATTAAATTGAAGTCACCGTTCAACTAAGACCTTTGAAGGCCCAATTTTTGGAGGAAGAAAGGGAAGGATGGGGAAAAGCTGCTCTTGCTGTCTGTCACCGGATTGTGACACTGTCTTTAACTAAATAATTTGGTAAACCTAATAAAACACTTTTACCCTCATATTCTGTCAAAAAAAATTTGCTTTTGACCAAGGAGAAACACAAGAACATACCTCCAATTAGGTAAGTGCCAATCCTTTATACACGCATAAGGATTTCTCAGGAATACAGTGGCTAACACTGTACTGGTTTTGGCTGGGATACAGTGAATTTTCTTCACCATAGCTCATATGAGGCTATGTTTTGGGTTTGTGCTGTTTGGGTTGACAACAGAGGGATGATTTTGCTATTGCTAAGCAGAACTTACACAGAGTTAAGGCCTTCTCTGTTTCTCAGGCTGCCCCACCAGTGAGTAGTGGCTGATGATGCACAAGTTGGGAGGGGACACAGCTGGGACAGCTAACCCCAACTGACCAGACGCTGTGCTCAGCACATAAAGCTGGGGGCAGAAGGAAAGGGGGATTGTTCAGAGTGATGACACTTGCCTTCCCAAGCAACCATTACACACGGCCCCCAGCTTTCCTGGAGATGGCTGAACCCCTGGCCTGCCAATGGGAAACTGTGAATGAATTCCTGATTTCGCTTTGCTTGCACATGCAGCTTTTGCTTTACTTATTAAACCATCATTACCTCAACCCTTCAGTTTTCTCTTTCACCCTTCCAGCTGTCTCCCTCCTCCTGCTGTGGGGGAGCGATCGAGCCCTGTGTGGGGCTAAGCTGCCTAGCAGGGCCAAAGCACCCTGTTTCCTTTCCAGGTTAATTAGCTCTGTTCACTGAGGTTCCTGAGAGCAGTTGCTTCAAACTTGTTACATGATGGGATTCTGCCATGAGTTTGATAAGTGTATAATAAAATTCTCCTGTGGTTCTTCAACTTGTATGTGTATGTATGAGATGTTTCAGTTCTTAAGAGCAGTGCAGCTGAGGTTTCTACCATTACTGTTCTGTGGATAGAAACACATTTGGATAAGTGCATGAAGCCAGCAGTGAACAAAAAGTAATCTGTTTTCTCTTGTTTTAAATGTGCTTCTCTAAAACAAAAGAATAGGGTTCAGAAGAACACGCCTCCTACAGGGAGGCCAGACCACTTCTTAAAAGCTGCTTTTGCAGAAATGACTGACGCTAATTGTCCTTAAAATATCAGATTCAGAACCACATGGCCAAGGGCTCCTCAGCACCGATTGCTCAGAGCTTTGTTACCAGCCAGGATGCTCCTCCAACACTGCGTGGTCTAGCAGGGGAGATGTGTTTTCAAAGTTTGAAGAATGCTAATGTTTAGGATACACTACCTAAATTCATGTAGTGTAAATACCACACACTGCCCTCCAAAAATAATCTTGAGCTCAGTTTGCCAGAAAAGGATGCGAGATCGTCTTCTGTCAGGGTGAAAAGACTAAACCAGATGAAATAAAGTGCTACCAAGTAAATAACGTCAAAGCAACAGAGTTATCCTCAAAGACTTTATCAAACAAATTGTAAAGATTTGCTCCTTGGGGGAAAAAAAAAAACCCAAGTGGTTTACAGCCTAAATTGGGTCCTTCTAATACAATTTGTTTCATCAACTGACTGAAGTTCTGACCATGACAGCACTAGGTCTAGGAACAAAGCACCAAGTATAAGTAACAAAGGGAAACAAAGAGCAGTAAAGAGAAACGGTCAAGACAAGATTATATTGTTGGGGGGTGTTGATCAGAACACGATAGGAATTGTCTTTTTAATGTTGCAGTGTCTTGTTAGGAAATGTAAAAAGTCTTTTACCCTCAGTATAGGTTAATTTCACAGAGCTAACTGCAGATCTGTAGCACTGTAACAACTAGGTGTAACTCTCAGCAACGCAAAGATAATTACTCCCATCCCAGACAAGACAGGACTGGTGTCAGGGTTTAGTTAAAAAAATAATAATAATAAAAAAAAATGTTCAACATACCACATGGATGAGTTATGAGTCTTAAGAGAATCACTGAATTCAACAACTTGTGTTCTCTCTTAACTGTAGTACTTCATTTACATAGAAGGAATTTCCAGACGCCAAAGGAGTATAATTTAGCTTGTTATTAAGTCAGATGAAGTTTTAGAAAAGTTGATGAAAGGATTGTATTCCTGAGGTTAGAAAAAGCAGACAACCTTTTACCTGATGATCCAATTAATGACATTACCACTTCCTATAAGCCTTGTATCTGCTATCAAGAACTTAAAATTGTTTTAGACTTTACCTACACTGTTTTTACATAGGTTCCTTGAAAGAAAGATAAAGTAGCAGTATCATTACAGCTGACTAGTCAAATCCAAGAACAACATCTTACAAATTACATATACAAATGCTGATCTGTCACTCACCCCTACTCCCTGAAATCCTTCCTTACCCTATAAAAAAGCCTATGCTCAACACAGCACACTGTCTTCTGAGTTCTAGAGTGAAAAATGGAAGGGCATTAGCAGAGTCTGAAAACATCTAAGTAGTTTTACAGGATTTTCCTTCATGCAAAATTCGTCATATGTTCTAAATCCCTCTCTTTGGGCATAAAAAGACCATTTGGACAGCTACCCAGAGAACAACTCGCTGACTAGGAAACACCCCCAGCAGGCAAACATTGCCTACACCTAGATAGTTATTCAGCTAGGTTTGAAACAAGCAGTTAGTCTGCAAAGCGTCCATATTACACTGTTATGAATAACAAGGAGTCCATTTTCAAATTTGTGCAAGCATGTACAAATACCTTCTGCTTTCCTAGCCAAATGCTCTTAAAATTTACACGTGTTTTAAATTCGGTGAGGAGTGAGCTCTGTGGCACAAAAGCATATCTGACATGTAAAAGCTGCACGGTGTAATTCTACCACCACCAAACACTCCAAGCACAGTTTCTGTAAGAATAAGGCAGTAAAATTATTTAATGTTGTAACCTACTGAATAGAGAGGGTGAGAATGTCAACTACAGGATGGATCATACAATGGTATAATCATGAGACAGCACCTAAAAGCAGAGGAGTGTAAGAGGCACCATTTCCTTAAGTCTTCCAGGCTTCATCTCAAAGAAATGACATATCTACGTGACCTAATTCTGAAAAGCAAGATTCTTCATAGGTTAAATATGTAATAAAATTAAGAACTACTCCATAAAATAGATAACCCGAGGAAAGACAGAAGAAAACCAGAAGGTAAAGTGTGCAAAGCTAACAGTATCCCTGCAAAGTTGAACACACAATACAGCACACGATCTTGAGGTTTAGTACAGCAAGGCTGAGACTCATCCATGTTACCAGGTGTTTCTTCAACATGTCACAATTTTAAGAATTTTAAATGTGTTACAAACTTGGGTTAATGTATAGAAAACAACATATTGTGGGCAAAAAATTATTCATTTGGAATGTGTATATCCACTTCTTTGAACCTCATCTCACACTAAATGCTGTGTGACTTCAAGTAACAGGAAAGCTAGCAGAGGAAAAAATTGTAGTTCAGGAAACAACAAGAAGCCAGCTGAAAAGAAACCAGGCAAATGTAGGTTTCCATTGCTTGTCCAGTTACAGAAGCACATTTACACTTAGTAAAAACCAAAATCTCGCCTTTTTTCCCAAGTGGTAACAAAAATATACTGATATATTCCAGCTTTTCCAAGCAGTTTGTCTGAATTTGAACTGAGACAGTCTTTGCAATCCATTGTTTTAATTAAATTATTTATTAATCCATTAATTAAATTAATTAAATTAAACTGATTAAATTAAAACCATTAATTTAAAAAAAAAAAGTCATTCCGATATCAAAAGCCTCACTGCAGCTTCTCAGTTTTTCCCACAGAGAGAATCACAGTAACAGACATTATGGAATCTCTTTTAAATATGTTACTAATTAGAAAATCAGGTTCCTGTCATTTGAAATAATTCACTTGAAATTCTGGATCCTGCATTTGGAGATGTTCTGCCAATGACCAGGCCCAACAAAAATGATACCACCACCAGCAGGAAGATGAACCAATACACAGACTGTATTGTAAGCAAAAAGGACATTCCATGAATGATCGCTGGGGGTACAAACAGATCAATCAGCTGGTACATGATTGATGCCCCCCCCAACGATCCCACAAATGACACGACTCAGCCCACAACAGGTGGTACAAACCGAGACCCGAGGTTGCCCACAGTTGGCATGGGAAACAGCCAAACCAGCAAGCTGAACACATAAGAGAAAGGTGCCCACATGGCAACTCTCACCCCATCGGCCCACCTTCGCAAAGATCTTGAGCAGACTGGGGCCCAGCTCCAGGGAGAGTCAGGAGGTCTGCCCTGAACCAGGAAGCTCTGTGGAGTGCACTCCACAGACAGACACTCCTGCCTCCCTGCAAGTGGTCCCAGCTTTTATCCCCAAGCAGACACCTGACCTTTGTCAACTCAATGCGGGACCCCTGGGGCTCATTTCCCTTCTGGCTCTCCCTGCAGGGCCGGCCGCACCCTGGGGGGAAGCTATAAGGCAAACTCACCACCTCTTTATGAAGGGCTGTGGGAATCACCCATATGTCAACCTTAATTCGGGGCTCAGGGTTCAGACCCCAGCATTTCAGGAGTAAAGAAGAGTTCTCCCCATTTCATCAACTCTTTGATATATACGATAAACTCACACCATCTAATATGAAACATGAGGAGTTGCTCCACAACTGCCCAGCAGCACCTTCAAGAGACGTTCGCCGCCTACCTGAACCATCGCTGGAGACGGAGCTCGCGTTAATGCCCGAAAGGCCAAATAAGGGACACTCTCGGTCCGTGTTCACGTGACCCCATTTGTGGCATTTAATACACCTCACATTCCGCACCTCAAAGGAAAAAAAAAAGGATATAATTTAGTTAACAGTCCAGCTTAACATTTACAGAACTGTCCATTATCACACATAAGTCTTTAAACTCACTGAGAAAGAGATGATAAAATTAAGAGAATCCATGTGAATGTTCTGTAGTTAGGTAATACTTGAACTATACCCAAGACATCCACAGAGTGAAATTTATGTAACTTGCCTGGATACCAAAGGGCTGATCTCTGATATTCACATCGTCCTTTGCGTATCTGTTACACAAACACAGAAGAAAACAAATACTCAATTCATAATGTTTTTTTTTTTTTTTAAAACCATCATATAGAGAGCTACCTTTTATTAAGTGTGTATCCATTTTGGAGACACACTTCCAGTGCACATTCATTTCATTGTGTTTTCAAAGATGGATGTAAAATTCAAACCCAAACTAAGTTGATCAAGGAAATAGTTCCAGGTTTGCAGGTTTTAACTGCCAGGATATGAAAGGATTACACAAGTGACCTGCTCAAAAGAAAAAGGGGGCCAAAAGAAATGGATATGAAAAATAAGAAAGATGAAAAAAAAAAAAAAAGTTATTCAGATAAAATCCAAAATCTTACTTTTCTCGAGGGGCGACTTTTTGCCATTCAAATTTGTATTCAGTCTCTCCTTCTTGCTATAAAATAGAAAACATGGTAAATTTTAAATTTTTTAAAACACATTTAGGTAAGTAGGAAGGAAAAGAAATGATGGAATGAAATACCTCTTTAGTTTCCTCTTGGAATTTTCAGAAATCATGGAAAGAAAAGAAATAATACATTAACTACACATGTAAAATACAGCTGCTGTCTAGGCTGGGGACAAAATATTTTATGGTTTTTACTAATACAATAAGGCAAATACTCAGAAAGCAACTTTATTTAAAGAGAGCACACGTAATCAGCTTCTAGTGTACGGTTACAAATCCTCTAAAAACAGAATCATCTTTTAAAACTCTAATGATTTGATTTCCAAAATGTTTAAAAGCTTTTTGTATCTAGATAAATAGCAAGAACACTTAATTTTAAAACCTTAAAAAAAGATTTTTTTTTTTTTAGCAAAAAGCACTAAAGTAAAACAGTACTTGCTCTAAGCTTAAGGGATTACTTCAAGAGCTTTTAAAATTAAGTAATTGCACACTGTGCTCTACAAGAATGAGTCCACCCAAGCATTTCCAAGGTTTTTTTGTGCAAATGGGAAAGATGCATTTTAAAGGGGACATGTTTACTTAGTTCTGCACTTACACTCAGATTCTGCTAAAATTAAGTGACTAATATGAGTATCTATGAGGTACTTAGTAACTTCTGTTTACAAATCTACTACATACAGTCACAGGCAGACCCATCAGAGTCAGGTCAGCCAGCACTTTTGATTACAGAATCACAGTCTTTATTATTTATAAAACGCCCACTAATTAGCTTTGGTATTTCCTATGCTTGACATGCACCAAACCAAACTACCAGCAGAACTTCTAAGCAAAAGTGACCGTGCTATTTTTAAAAAGGAGAATAGGCTAAAATATAGATTTGTGTTGTCCAAGTCATTGCCTTGGTAAAGTCTAGTCCTCCTCACCCAATGGCTTTAGAATTGGCTAAAGAAACACCTTTGGTCAAGGACAGAATTTCTGCTGTTGCCAGGAAAGATTTTTTACCTGTTTTTTTCCCCTTCACATTGAACTGTTGCTTAACAAAACCTCAACCATTCTCAGTTTGAAAGAAATTAAAGTACTGTGAGATCAAAATTATTACACACTATGTATGTCTGCACATTCCTACAGGAAGAACTAAAAATCATACCTTCTTGCATTAACTCACTATGAACACTTTATTTTTAAGTAAGAAACACTGTGCCTATTTCTTCAGAATGTTTTTGGCTTTACAGTGCCATCAGCTGGTGATTAGGAAACCACAATACCTTTCTTTGCTCCTGGTGGGGCCTCATACATGAAATTAAGACCATTCTTCACACGCTCATCACCCATAAGCAACCTAAATAAAAAGGACAGAGTTTAGGGTGTTAAGCACAAAACAGTCACATTGGTATTATTTATTGAAAATAATACCAACATGCAGCAGGAAATTACCATAACTGGCAATTTTTCATTTGTAAACTAGAGTAACAAAAGTTGAGTATCAAAAAACCTAAGAGACCAGTCAATTCTTCTGCGTGCTCCGTGGCATACCAAGAATCAGACATTCCAACTACAACTGAAACATAACTTTGTGTCCACAGAATTACAAAAGACAGATTTCTGTGTGACACAAATACATTGTTACACAAGGTTACCCGCTGTTCTGTGCAATGTGACATATTTTGAAATTAATTACAAGACACCGACCGTTAACTTTTTTAAATAGTTCTTGTAATCTCTGCTTAATCAGACACCAATTTATGTGTCACTGTCCTCTCCTACTACGAGGGTCAGGGGCACACTGTATTTGAAGTAATTGACAGTATGTCCTTCACTGTCATGAGAACCAGAGGCAGTAGGAAAAAGGGATTTTTTTGCCAGTTCTCACCTATTATCATAGGATTCCTGTTCTTTCAGATATTGTTGCATTAATTCTTCTTGTTTCTTCTTATCATATGAGATTTTCTGTTCCGCCATCCATACCTAGTTAAAACAAGTAAGTTTCCACTTTAAACAAACACAAAAACTACCACAAAACGCACTCACATCTAAAAGCATAAGTAATGTTTTTAGGTGTGATAATAGCTAATAATAACTATTATTAGCTTAATGTACTAATAATAGTGAACAGGGGAAAAATTTCCATTCTAATAATATAAGATACATCATCTCCATCCTGCATTTCAACTCACGAACTTCACATAAGCAGCAACTCTGATAAGCTACAACTCCAATGATATTTAAGAACTGAAACGACATGAGCAAGTTTAGTAATCAAAAGGGAAAAAGCAGGCTCAGGAAACACTAAAGTTGTGTCCCCACCTTCCCTGTAGGAACACTTTCTCACCTACATCTCACCAGACCCCAAGCCCCCGGTTCTCCAGGAGCTACTGGAACGGTGCGATTGTGGGGAAGCGAGACCTGGAATCGGGACAAGGCAGGGGTGAAATACTGGGAAAACACGGGCACATACCGACAGGTGGGGGGTTCCTGGACAGCCTAGGGAACCCATTTATCCAGGGAAGCAGGTGTTGAAAAGCAGGAGCCCAGAAAAAGCAATAGTTGCACACAACTATGAACAAGCAAGCCCGAAGCTCCAAGCATTTCTTTTTTCCCAGCTCTTCCTCGCCCTTGCCCCAAGCCCGGTGCCACCAGCGAGTGCCGGCACACTCTGCTCAGGCCGCTGCTCTGCGGGGAGCCCGTCACCGCCCGGGGGACACCCCCGGACCCCCAGCAAGCGGCT